GCTTGGCCGCGATGCTGATGGTGGGGAGGAAGACCAAGGTGCTGATGGTGGGCAGAAGGAGCTTGGCCACCAGCGAACCCATCGGTGCCTCGCAGGCCCCGTGGCTCCCGGGGAGAGGGTTTCTGTGAGCCGGGTGGCGACGGTGGAGAGAGCAGCCGTGGCAAACGTGCTTTAAAATTTAAATGCCCTGCGTGGCCGGGAGGGCTGCAGGCAGGGAACAGCTGCCACCGCCGCAGCCACCCCCTTCGCTCCTGTCTCTCCCCAACAGCGAAATTCTTGACGCAGCCGGCGGCTCCTGGCAGCAGATGCTCTGTGCCCCCGATATTGTCCCGGGTGTTTCTAAAGGAGCGAAGGGGAAAGTCGACCTTGAATGCCTCGTGCTGGGTGTTGGACCTGGGTGCACAGCAGGTGAGGACGGCGGGTTTGCTTGCTCCCCATGGGGACACCCCACCTCTGCATCCTGCTGCCCCTGTGCCAAGCATAGGTCAATGCTGCTGGAGCAACCGGGCAGGGAAAAACCATCCTCTGCTCCACGCTGGCACAAAGTAGGGAAGAACTGGTACGTGGCAGGTACCAGGGGTTTTTAAAACAGCGGGACATACCCTGCTGCCGTACCTTAGAAATACGCACAAAGCCCCAAATCTGCTTTTTATTTGCCCACGAGGGCAGACCTGGAGCGGGTGGCCCTGCTCCAGCAGAGCCCAGGCATCGGGGAGCTCGCATAATGCAGCACCTAATGCCTGCAACGCATGCCTACGTGCTCTCCTGTGTGCTCAGGTGGAGTTAAGTGCAGTTCTGTTTCTCAGCCGTGCCCTCAGGCTTTGCAGCGTGGACACCTCCAGGAGATCTGTCTGAAATTCAGGAGCTGAGCATCTCTGGGATCGAGGAATTTGAGCAGATCACCGTGCGGCGCAGAAAAGCTGAAGGAAAGGAGACCAGAAGCCAAGCAGCGTTTGGGCTGCTAATCCACTCAGTGGCTTCTCTCTTTTATTATGACTTTTTATTATATCACTGCTGCTCCCCTCCTGGGTTAATATCTTTTCCTTGGAGCCTTGCAGGGATTCTCGGCATCTTTTCGGTACAGCTGTTCCCGGGACGCAGGGAGGAGGAATGCTACGCTTGAGCAATCGCCTTTGCGGCCGTGGGTTTGGGGAGGAGGCTGCGAGCTGCGATATGAGCCACCGTCTATTTCTGAGGCTGACAGGACGGGCTCGCCTGTCCCCCGGGAGGGGGTCTGGTGGAAAGATAGGCACGCACGGAGAAAAAAAAAAAGCTCTTTAAACCACTCCAGCCAAGTTGGAAAGGGCTCCGGGAGGGAGAGGGCAAGGGCGTTGTGTGTGCGGTGAGAATGGCACGACAGCGTTAAAGCACTGACCCGAGAGGGCCTTCCTCGGGCACAGCTGAGATGAGCTGTGTTGGGCTCCTGTTTTTAGCTGATATTGCAAGGAACCATCCACATTCCCCGGCCGGCTGCAGGCAGCATCCCTCCGCAGGGCGCGGAGGCTCCACGCTGCCCACACCACATCTCCAGCCGCCCTCCTGCCTGGGCAAGCCATAAACTTGCCACAAACCCCTGCAAAACTGAATCTCTACCAATAAATAGTGAAAAGCTCTGATGTCCCTGTTTACTGTGAAAATTAATCCCTCCAAGCCAGCCCATAAATACCCTGCTTCTCCCCAGGCGTCCAGCCCTGAGCGGGAAGCGGAGCCGAGCGCCAGCACGCCCCGAAGTACCCTGTTCCTTTTCTGTGCCATATCCTCAGGCGTATCCGTTATTCCCTGTTATTCTTGCATGAGCTGCTTGGACCGAGGAAGGTGCTCGGGGCCACCGTGTGCTGCACGGCAGGGCTTGTCTCCGGGAAGGTTTCAAGTGGGGTTGGCGTTAGCTGGTTGCACGAACCTCTCTGGATTCCTGGCTAAGAAAACTGCGTCCACCCGGCTTTTATGGCCAAGAGGTTGGCGTCAGAGAGGTGAAAGCACAGCTCAGAACCTGTTGGTGAGGACAAACTTCCACGTCTGGGTGCAAAGGAGCCCCCCTCGCCCTCATGGGACCATTTGCAGGGACATAGTAGTTGTGCAACAAGCCCCCATTTGCAAGGACGTGCAAGGGTGGTGGTTGTGCAACAAGCCAAATGGCATCAGTTGAAAAATATGACCAAGCAGTTGTGAAATGCGTCCCCCTCACCCCCATCCTTTGCCCAAAATCTAGCTGGAGTCCACTCGAAAGGAAACCCTGTTGGCTGCTGGATGCGGCAAGTGCCAGCCATGGCAAGTGCTCCCCCGAGCAGGGATGTGTTGGAGCTCTCAGGAGCAAGGAAACATTCCCCAGGTTGTTGTTTTGTTTTGGGTTTTTTTTCCCCTCTCCCAGCCGCGCGCCCTGGGCTGGCGTTTGGTTTGCAGCCAGCGCTGTAGGCATAGAGGAAAAAAAAATCGCACCGGTTTGCACACATGTTCCAGCTATTATTGAGAAAGAGACCCCAACGTAAACTGCAAGGCAAGGGGCAGGCAGGTGGCGAGCTCCTGTTGGGAGCTGCTGCTTAAAAGGTCTTTGTTCAGGCTGCAAACAAACCACAGAGCTAGACATGGGCTTTGCAAACCTTCCCGGGAAGGAACCCAAATAACAAAGGGCTAGGACTTTGTTCCTCCTTTCCTAAACAGGTAGGAAATGTAGAAAGAGCAAATTTTAGCTCCTGCATTTAAGTACTTCTGGAAAGCGAATTTTAAATCGACATTCCACAGGGCTAATTTTGTGTGGACCAGAGTGCACGCAGGAATGGCGATACATATGGCTGAAAACTGGTTCCCAGATGCCAAAACCAAGTTCTGGTATGCCGTCCTGGATCCTTCCATGACTTTCTGTAAGCACTTCTACCCTTTCAACTCAGATATCTCAGTGAAGCAGAGAGACACAGATAGTTTTGGTTTATTTTTAATATGAGGGTGACAGTTTGCAAGTGGATATATGTTGGAACAGAGGATGGGGGATCTGTGACAATTGAGACTATTGAGAGTATATTCTCCTCGGGATGAGCGTAGGATGTCTTTCATCTGTGTGTGGTGTAGACTGTGTCAGAATTGCAACCTGCTCAGCGTTCCCAGTTACTGCTAGGTTTGAAATAACGGTGATAATGACACTAAAACGGAGAGTCAAGGCTGCAGCTTCTATACGGGCTTGGAGTTTGCAATGCTGCAGACGAGCAGGTATGCACGGACGGCTGCACTGATTCAGCGCTTACTGCAAAGCATTATTTACCACTTCCATTACTTTCAGAGTCTAATTTTTCATCTTCACAATGCTTTGACTCCGGACTCAGGGATAACGGCGAAAAGCTGGATGTTGCCCGTTTTCAGCGGGACGATGTGCAAGAGCTGCGGCTCTGGAGCAGCACAGTCAGCCCCAAGGAGCTCCGAGCAATTTGACGCGCATGGCAAAGCATTCTTGTCTTCTTGCTGCTCTCCCTTGGGAATTTGATCGAGAAACCTCCTGGCATGGAAGGGCCTGGAGCAAGCGTGGAGCAGCCCACGGGCACAAGCCCTCCCCTGACCAGCTGGAGGAGGGAGGGCTGTAGCATCTGGATAAAATACCTCTTGTTACCTACCGCAGCCTGCGACGAGAGCTGTTGTGGGAGATGCCGGGGTGCACAGTGCTTTCTGGGTAGCTGAAATCCATACACCCTGGCACCAGGGAACAGGAGCCCAATAAACGCAGAGCCACCAGCTGTGCCTGAGCCCCTCGCGCGGCCGGCACCGCAGACGCGCCTCTGATCAACCGCAGCTCTCGCCCGCTCCCGTCCACAGCCCTGCCAAAGCACCTGCATCCTTCTTTTTTTATTAGTGGAATAAATTGCCACTTAAAATATCCATTCTCCGTAAGGCCTGGCCCCATTTTCGGCAACTTTAGCTGAATACTTGCCCTTGAAAAAATTCCCCCTTCCCATCTCCCTGTTGAATAAAACTATTAGCCATATTCCTCCCAGGTATCTCTGCTCCTTTGTTCCTGAGGGGTTTTTTCACTCCACCCTGTCCTAGCCCATTACAAACATTAGCAGCGAGCACATCTCTTTGCTTGTCACCAGGTTTCTACTGTTTGTACCCTTCAGGGTGTCCTGGGGTGGCCATCCCGCTGCAACTTCAAGGGGGCAATGCAGGGGTTTATTGCTCCTTTCGTGGTGTTTAATGTGTTTTTTATGCAGTCACGGCTCCTAGAGCCCAGTGGCGATGTGCGGGTCTCAGATCTCACCCCGTTGGTCAAAAATGTCATTTTTTTTTAAGAGAAAAGCTTGAAGTTGTGATGCTTCAAGGCTCAAAATCCAGAAAGGAATGAAACCAGTCTTAGGGTTTTGGGGAGTCTGACTCATGGGTTTTGAATGCCTGTGGTTGGCAATGCTGCATAGCTGATGTCCCTCAGCACAATACTGCACAACTGCCATGTGAGACTCATTCCATTAAAAGAAAAGGCTTTGTACTTCTTTTTTTTTTTAATCTTTCCATAGCTAAAATTCTGAATAAAGCACGACTCATCTGGAAGCTCCTCCAGGTTCTTGCAGGGATGTGTACTGTTTGGGGACAGGTAAAATTAGAGTTAAAGATACCTGCAGGGAAAAAAGAAGCTTTTAAAGCCATTGAGACTCTACAGCCATGACCATACCTGGGGTCACTGGGGTCGTTTGTGGCTTTCAAACCGCCCAGAGATATTTTTAAATAGGAACCTGATGGCGAGAGCAGCTTGGTGGCTTGGGCTTGTTCAGTTTGACTCAACATTTTGCATATCTCCACAGACAAAACCCTCATGCTAACACCATATCAATCATTGCTGTCCACGCTGGATGGAGGCACACAGAGATGACGTGCCTTGCCCAGCACTGTGCCATAGTTTTTTGGTCTCCTCTTGCTTGTTTTAGCTTATGGCCCTTTGGTAGGCCATAGCCACAGCTCTTGAGAAGAAGGTAGAACTGGCTGTCAGAGCCTTTTTTGGGGGCTTCACCACATTTTGGTTCCCCTGGCAATGTCCCAGCTGTGCAGGGACCTTGCCTGCTCCATACCTGCCTTAAATCTGCCTACGCCATGCTAGGCTTGCCTGGAAATAACGTGTGTGGCTGTGCAGAA